GCTCTCCTGGCATGTTCACCATCAGGATCCTGAAACAAGCACAGAAGTGTTACACAGAACCAACCCTGTGACAATTAGAACCACATGTGCAGGATAATCAGTACTTCCAAAATTTCTGAGATTCAAATGCCGTTTGGAAGGTGTTTCTCAAATCTATTAACATGAAAAGAAAAATGAATGAAACAAGAAAGGAGGAAAAGCTGCACATGGTGGTGCAAACCTATAATTTTAGCACTAGGGAGGCTGAGGCAGGAAGATTGCTGAGAGTTTGAGGCCAGCCTGGAGCTACAAAGTGAGTTGATGGTCAGCCTGAACTATATGTAGCGAGACCCTGTCTCAAAAAGAGAAGGGGGCCAGGGATTTAGCTCAGTGCTTCCTCCGCCTGCCTCACAAGCACAAGGGCCCAAGTACGATCCCTGGTACCAAGGGAAAAAAAAAAAAAAGAGAGAGAGAGAGGGATTCCATCCCCAGTACCAGAAAGAGCGGGGGGAGGGGGAGAGGAGAGGGAGACAGACAGACTTTCCTGATTGAAATAAGATAGTCATGGGCTTAGTAAAGCCAAATCTTACTGATTAATTCAGTGGAGTCGGTTTAATTTCTGCGAAAACCATCAGTGATTTTTCCAGAAGTCTGAAAGCACAGTTCTGCACCCTCCAAGTGCTCATCCCTCTAGTGCTTTTTGACTGCTGGACTCACTCATGCACCTGACTCAGCAGAGCACCGCAGCGACTAGGTGTGGTGCTCTGGTACTGACACACCCCTTCGAGTCCTGTTCTATGTATCAAAAGAGACCTCACAACCCACCCTGCTTTCCCCACTTGCAGCACCTCTGAGTACACTGACTATCCTTCCCAAGAAGGCGCACAAAGAATTCAAGGAGCAATTCAATCAGCAACCAAAAAACCTCTTCACAGAGAAGAAAGACATTTGATATGGATCAGATATGAAAGAAAATTTAAATAAAGGCAAAATCACTTTAAAAGGGGCAAAAGGACCTGGGAATATAGCTCAACTATAGAGTATTTGCTTAGCATGTGCAAGGCCTTGGGATCCATCACAGAACCAAGACAGAGATGACAGACTGAGATAGAAATGGAGATAAGAGATGGAGAGAGGGAGGGAGGAGGAAGGGAAGACAAGGGAAGAGAAAAAGTGTTCAGACTGGTAAATGTAATAAGAGTCTTACTTGCAGAGGCCCAATAAAAAACCACAGGCTCAGTTGGAGTGTCCCTGCAACAACAAGGCCTAAGGAAAGTGGTTAGCTTAAGTCACAGAGGTTCTGCTTGCCTGGTGCTCTACAGTTCACACAGGAGTGGCTTCTGGAACCTATGGCTGACTCTCTTCATTAAAAACAGGCTAGGGGTGACCATGGTGGCACACACTTCTAGTCCCAGCACTTGGAAAGCTGAGGCAGGAGGATCACCATGAATCTGAGGCCAGCTTGGGCCAGCCACACAGTGAGTTCAAGGCTAGCCTGGACTTTCTGAGAACCTGACTCAGAAAACCAAATAATGGGCCGGGGATTTAGCTCAGTGGTTTTGCTGCCTGCTGAGCAAGCTCAAGGACCCAAGTTCAATCCCCAGTACCAAAAAAACACCCCAAATAATAATAAGTAAAAACTTTTTTTAAAACAATAAAACAAAAACAGGCTGGTCTGCCCAAGGACCACTCTTGTCTTCTAACTCTGAACAAGGACAACTCCACAATTATACA